GTGCTTCCGTGGGCGTTCCAAACGGACGACACAACGATAGTTAGACTGTGATAAGCTGTCCAAACCAGCTTGTCTGTCTTCCAAAACGCACTAGCTGTAAAGCTAGTACCAACCCCACCCGATGACGTTAACCAGCCCTGGTCGCTTATCAAGAATGCTCTGCATTCTGCTGGCTTAGTTAGTTGTGGTCTGACTCGTCGCGCCGCGACACCCTGGATCTTTGCAGAGTTTCTACGCCTTCTTGACGCGCTTCAGTCTATTTCGACCGGCAGTGAGCATAGTAAAACACGACTCGTAACGAGACGTGAACTTAATGTCAGCCCACGCAGAGACCGCGAGATCTGGTGGACTCAACGCGCGTCAGAAATGGAACGTGCTGTTGCCATGGTTAATTCCCGTAAGCTGTTCCATCTCATCCGGGTCACCGGTAGGAAAGCCTTGGGTGTGAGTGAAACGATCTGCGAAGCTGACGGCTCGCCCATTCATAGTCAACAGCGACGCGTTGCACACTGGGCGAAGCAGTTCACAGCACAAGTAAACTGGCCTCCAGCGTCAGCTTCTCACACAGCTATTCCGGCACACGCCCCATGCTCTGTTTCCGAGGCGGAAATCCATAAGGAGATCCTGGCTTTGGGACGTCACAAAGCGCCGGGATCCCATGGCCTTCCTCCTTCTGTGTTTAAAGATGATTGAACAAAGCATGTTAGAGAACTACAGGTTCTGTTCTCTAAAGTGTGGAACACTGACAAGGTCCCCTCCTCGTGGGGGGGAATTGATTGTTGTCCCCATCTTCAGAAAGGGCCCACGCAATGACTGCGCCAATCATAGGGGTATAATCCTTATCCCAGCAGCGTCAAAGCTGTTATCGTCCCTTATTTCTTGTAGATTGGACAAAACGCGTGAGGAACATGCCCGCGTGGAGCAGGCTGGGTTTCGCGCCGGTCGTGGATGTATCGATCAAATCTTCACTCTCCGACAGCTGCTAGAGTACCGTCATGCCTACCAAAGACCAAC